GTGTGGAGTTAATGGAGCTTCAGCTAAAGCAGGGGGAAGAGGCGGGAGGGAGCGCCGGGCCGTGGGAACCGGCCGCGCGCCGGGGGAGGAGCGGCCTTTGTCTGCGCCTTGGCTGGGTGGGACTCGCTGCGTTTCCATGGCGACTGGCCGCCCTTTCCCCGCATGCCCGCTCCTCTCTCCCACACCGGGGCAGGGGTGTCTGTCTACCCAAGGGAGCCAGCCTCGGCAGGCCTTCCCCCACGGCTCCCCTGAAATTCCAGCCGTGAGTGGTCAGAGCAGAGCAGAGAAGAGCGGCCTCCGTGCCAGGCACAACCTTCACAGTGTTGACCATTAAGCAAACCTGCCCTGGGCACAGGGAAGCCCAGGCAGACAGGTCTCAGCCAGGTTGCCCTCTGGGGTTGAGTGGGTGTAATACTGCAGGGGAGTAACCGGGAGAGTCAGAGCCTGGCAGGTGGAGCCGGGCAGAGCTTCCAGACAGTCCTGACTTTAGAACAGAAAGGAGGGTGGTGGCCGTGGGTGCAGGGCTGCGGCTGGCTGGGCAGGGCCACCCACGGGATTTCAGATATTTGTTCTCACTGCGCCGCGCGTTCTCAGTGTCATCTTGCAGGGAGGTGAGGAAGACTGGGCCAGGAGCACGGGTGGCAGGCCCTGCAGGTGCGAGGATGGGGCACGGATGGCGGTGATGCAGAAGAGCTGCCTATGAGCCCTGAGCCCTGGGCCCCGCCCCAGCCTCGTCGTTTTCCACTCTCTACTGTGATTGCCTGCCATCCCTAAATACTAAGATCCCACCCTGACTCCATGTCCATTGTCCCTTCTTCAGAGGTCCAGGCCACCCCCTTTCTGGCCTTGCACTGGCCTCCTGCACTTCTGAGGTCAGAATGAATGCCCTAAAACGCTGTCTGGCTGTGTCACAGGGGCCACGTGACCGGGGGTGGTTCATGCTCTTAGCAGGCAAGCAGGGTGTGGTCTTGCACTGTCTTCTGCAACCTGGAAGGAAAGGCCGTCAGGGCCGCCTGCCCCTCTGCCCCTGCCTTTCCCCAGTCCCACCACTTTGGGAGGAAAATGGGAAGTGGAAACAGAGGGACAGTCACCCCTTGGTTTCTCAGCATTCTGACCACTCAAGGCTGGCCTGTCCACCCTCTGCACCCAACATCCATGCCCAGTTTCACCCCTTCACTGGTCCTGTGGAAGGACAGCTCCCTGCCCCCATTCACAATCTTGTGCTCCAAAGGGGGAGGGGACCCCACCTGTTGGACCGGCACCAAGGGGCGGTCTCAGGTCTCACAGACTCTTCCCCATTTTCACGCCTGGCTGCCAGTGGGGAGGAGGCAGTAGTGGCCTACAGGGGTTCAGACTAGAAACCAGGCCTCCAGCTTCCCACTTATCTTGCCCGCCAGGGACAACACTCCCAGACTGCGCCACCCCGGTTCTGGTTTTGCAGTTCTTTGTTCAGATTTCCTGACTAGCTGGGCCTCTGTGAAGGGGGAAACCTAGTGTGGGCCATGGCACAGTCTTTTCAGGGGTCCCTGGGGTGCAGATGTCAGTTGTTGGCCTTGTACCGCTTCCAGGTGTGAGATACTTACTCTTGTTCATTGTGGCTTGAAATTGGCTGCCCCCGTACAGGGTGACATATGACTGAGGCTGAGCCCACTGAGACAGCCACAGTGGCTTGCCCCAAGTAGAGGAGACACAGGCTGGGGTTGCCTGCCACCAGCAACTCCAATGCCTGAGAATAAAGCAGAACATGTTGGGAAGCAGGTCACATGAAACCCAGATATGTGAGCACCTGGATCCAGCCGTATCTGAAGCTGGGCCTTCACTTCCTTGTTATGGAGTCGCTAAATCCCTCTTCTGCTAGGGTCAGTATTCTTGGAGCACAAGAGCTCTCTCAGAGAAGGCCATTTCTGCGCCTTTACTGCTGTGTCCCCAGTGCCCAGGACAAGACATGTTGAATGAACAAGTGACAAGCCCAACACACTCATGTTGCATGTGTGTATGCACATATGTGCTCATGGCACGTGTGCTTGATGGCCACAGGGTGGCACATCTCTCATGGCTCCTGCCTTGCGTGCAACTTGGGGATTGGGAGCAATCCCCCTCCCCTATTGCTTGACTCTGAGACAGCCCCCTCCCTCCCACATCACCAAACTTGCCCCTCGCCCTCAGGTACACAACCCTTGGATCCTACTTATGTCCTGAGTCATCCTGGGATGGTTCATG